CTTTGATACAACAAGATTTTCCTGATCGAGACATTTCGATTAATTTTTCAATATTTATTTAAACAACATTAACTAAATTGAAAATAACGTGTTGTTGCTTTACTTTGATTACCCGTTTTTTGCACATTTCTGTTACCAGTTGGCGTGACAGTCTAGCGGCTCGGTCCCTATTGCACAATGCATGTTTCACAAGTTCACGAAAAATATCATAGATGTCGCCTCAATGAAATTTTAGTTAGGGATCCTATAGGAGGGATGCGCCATGTACATTGCTGGGGAACCGGAACTCGATTTTGCGCGCGAATGATTTAAACATTGAAATAATTATGAAATAATGAATTGCATCAAATACAGAAAAAAAATGAACTATATTTAATGATAATTAAAAATTTATATTAAAATAGAATAGGTTACACGAAAAAATTATTATAAATTCAATAAGAAAGATTCAATTAAGTTTGATTTGATAAAAGGCATTACAGTATTTTGAAATTTCTAAACAACTTGTAGGAATTTATACAATTTTGATAAATATAATTATCTACTGTATATATTATATTTACAATTATTTTAATCATTCGTACAATTTGTTTTTAATTTCCAATATTAATAAATCAGCTAGGATTCCTGGGTATTATATCTTCATAAAATTCCCAATTTTCGATAATTGTAATAAAAGCTACTTTCTGGAAATATATATTCCTAGAAAACTACTAAGTGCTCTCGATAATTTTATAGTTTCTATTTTTACTTTATATATGCACTTTGTTATCAACAAAACAATTAAATATAAATATCACAATAAAAACTATAAGTTTTCCAAACTTAAACTGACCACAGCCGTTATTTATACATACTAAAGATAAACATGGCTGCGCGTTGCATCGGAAACGGTCCAACAAAATTTTCAGCCAATAGCAACGCCAGCAATATGTATGGCACATCCCTCCTATAGGGTCCCTAATTTTAGTTATAAAAAATAGTACAACTGTTAAACGATGATGTATTAAATAATAAAAATGTGTATAAAGAAATTCTTATTTAATTCATTTAAAAACCAAATTTATTATATAATTAATATACTCATAGTGAGATTAAGTAAATAGACAAATGAATAAAAAATCAAATAAAACGAAGAAGTACCGTTCATTCGTTAAAGAAAGGAAACGATTCAAATTTGAAACTGCATTGAGTTCGATGCAAGTATGTAAGTAAAGAACATTTAAAATTTATTAATTGAAAATGTTAATAATATTTCTAAAAAAGGGTAAACAATCATAAAAATGTGATCTTCGAATTTCTTTTTATAATTAAACAAAATTTTTGAAATTAGTCAATTTCATGAGAGATCAATATCAAAAGATGTATCTATGTAACCTGAATTCATACGTAAAAGATATCTCATAAATAATCGACGAATTAGGAAATTAAAAAAAAAAGAAATAAAATATATATATATATGTTTATGTATTTATAGTAAATGGGCTGAAATTCAGATTCTAGATGAGATCCGACTATGATACGTGGTTACCGTTGCTAGAAGATTTTAACAAAGAGGAAGAAGAAGAAGGAAAAGGAAGAATGGTAAAGAGAATCTCGGTCACTGGGCCTTTTCTCATATCGTGACGTCGTTGGGCCCCATTCGCGGCTTGGGACCACCTAAGAATCTCTATATTTAATAGATCTTTTCTTTATTGAACACAGAATAAACCACAAGTCTTTAAGTGATGTTTAAAATCATCTACAAACTTTTGGTTCATCTTAAAATTATGCGATTTTTTATTTGCAGCTTTTCTTTTTATGATGAAAAATTTGTTATAGAAAAAGGAGTCTAACATTAAATACGAGTAATAAAAACGTTATAGGAATTTGATCGTATTAAAAAAAGAACTAAGTGGTTAATAGTATTATTTCATAAAAAAAAGGAAAGAAAGAGAAGGCAAAGTAGTTTGTACACTTGGTTGCATGTGCTACGTTCTGATAACGGACGTTGACTGCGGTAAAGTAATTCCGGCTGGTTTTGGGTCATCTGGTCGATCGATGGTCCGTTTCGTTTGTTATAGAAATGATGGACATGATCGAAGAGCTTGATTAAATCCTATAAAAATTAATTTTTTTCTATATATACATATATGTAAATGTATAATATAATTTTAATAATTTTGCATAGCAGAATTTATTAAAGCTATATCAATGATGATAATAATTCATGAAATTTTATTGCACGTTCTTTTTTTCATAAATTTTATAAATAAATAATCTTTATCTTCCTTTTGAAGAATATATTATTTTCTTTTTTGTAGGGTTCTTCTTCTGAAGACAAAAATTAGGAAATAATATATAAACATTGTAAAAGAAAAAAAACGAGAAAAAAAGAAGATTTAGAATCCTGATCAAAATCAATGGCGATAGAACAGGTCGATGGTATTTCGAGAGGAGGTATTATAGGTGGGAACGATCATCAGAAGAGCGTAGAATTTTATAAGGGGGTCATCATACGAGGCCAGCTCCGGTCTGGCTAAACGCATCGAGCCAGGGCAGTCTTTCTTCGGTCGTCGTCCGATCTCGACTGAACAACTCTGATACATCGTGTAATACATATGTTATTATTTGTCTTTTAATACTTATCCTTATCTTTATTTCATTTTTTCATTCAAAAATCCGTTATCTCATTTTTTTCTTTCATAAATCCAACGTTGGTGCAAGAAAACGAATCGTTTCGTCAAAAATTGTGATTCAAGTTTCTGATCTTGATTTTTTTACAAGTGCTATAAATAAATAATTAAATAAATAAAAGGGACAGTGCGGATTAATAAAACTTTAAACGATATCGTATACTTCAAATTTTGATTATTAAGGTAATTTTTTATATTTTATTTTAATATTGTTGCACTTGTGTTATTCGTATTTTTTTTGTTGGGTTTAATTTACTTTATTTTTATATCTTCCATTTTCATGTGTACACATGGAGAAATAAAATATATGTATGAAAGAGACACATAGATACACAATAAACATGTATACATTAATGGTAAACGAATACTTAAGATCAATGAATTATTTTGGCTCTTTTATCAACGAAAAATGATTTAAGATAAATCTTTATATACTGCAGTCTTTTTTGTGTATGTGTTTCTGTGTATTTGTAGATATTCGTAGTAATATTTTCATCTAGGAACGTTTTCACATATTATACACGTGATGCTCTCTCTTTGATTAAAGTTACCCGCAAGTACCATTCGAATAAAATGATAAAAAAAAGATTAAAAAAACAAAGTAGCGTGAAAGATCCTTTTTCTTTTTTCTGTTTTATAATTTTGATTTATTCTTTTCATTTTAACGATAAAAATAATTCATTGAAATGATATTTTCATTTGACAAAATTTAATTGAAATTATTTTCTTTTTCCTAGATTGAGAATTTTTTAACAATTTATTCTTTTTTCAATTTATTTACAATATAACGTTGTATTCTAGCCGTAAATTCCTACGAATCAATTAATTCTTGTGAAATCCATCCTGCTTCCGTTTACGTGTATACTTTCTAAAACGCGTTTGTATATTTATATGTGTATATGTGTGTATATGTGTGTATATTAGAGGATAGACAAATTTGAAAATATTTTATTTCAATTATTTTCCATTGAATATATTAATATTAATTATTGCATAAAAACGCATACGTACATATGCATAAAATTAATTAAAATGAATGCCTTTTTTATAGGAAGTTAGAGGATTAAAAGTAAAATTAAAAGGACAAGTTATTTCGAAAGGTTTTTATTTTTTTAGATTTTGTTTTATTTTTCATACAAACTAGAACAATACTCGTGGGAATCGTGAAAATTCTTAACAAGAACTCTTCTATAAAAGAATTCTTTTTAAAGAGAGATCAAAGTTATGAATCCACTGACCTCTTCTTAGTATTGCACTTAGGGTCAAAATGACTCATGTTAAAATGGATACTTTAACAGGTTTTTAAAGTAATGAAAAGTATTTACCAAGTTAACCATATTCAAGAATTCCAGTTACTGTGTACATATTTACACAGACATAAATACACATATATGTGTAACATTCACATATGCATCGTATTTTTTCTCTCTTCCCTATAATAAAAAAAAATTATACAGTATAGTAATATTTTAATAAAAATAATTGTCATTTTATTATAGAGTAAATTTCAGTATAGTAAAAATAGTATGAAAAGTAATTTAAAAAGGACACAAATGTTTTCTTACGGAATATCAAAAGTACTTCATAGATCCAATTAGTTAATATAATAAAAATATGAAAAATAAGAACTAAAATGTCTGAAAAAAGAAATGTAATCTTTGATCAACGTCATTTATTCAATATTATTAATGATTATAAGGATACATTTGAGAGAGTAGGATTTTGATGAGAGAGGAATATCTTTCAAAAGCGGATTTGGAAGGAAGTATTCCACCGATGACGCAGAACGTGGAATGTCATACATACTTTTACACACACACACAAACACATATATATGTATATATAGATATATACGTACGCAGTTTTGAGTACGAGTATGACAATAGAAAGTTAGCAACGTGGTATAAAAGGTATCTACCAGGCGTACAACTGACCCGGAAGAAACGTTGATGACGAACTGACCCACATCCGGCATTTTCTTCTCACTCAAATTTATTCTTTTATTTTCATTCATCGACTTTACTAACTTTGAACAAAAAGAAAACACAATAAAAGAAAAGAAGAATGTAACTTCAACATTCGTGTCGGTCGTATTTTTAAAAGAATATTTATTTACCGAATTAACAAACGGTATACCAATAGAATTCAATTAAAATACAAAAATGTTTCCTATTTATAAAAAAAATGTAAAAATCTTGATCATTGATGCACCATGCATGACTGACTATTACATTCAACTGTAATATCCATATATTATTCGCTATTGTTATTATTTTAATGTCTACTCAAAGGGCAAATGCATTAAAAAAGATTATAAGTTGCATTAAAGGTAAAAAATCCACGTAATTACTTACACGTTCGACCCACTGAAAGCAAATTCGCTTCGTAGTCCTCCCTTCATACATTATTCATGAGACAGGATACACCCTAAATTTGAAGGCTTCCCAAAGGATGTAACCGTCAGTAATTTCACTGTGAAACAACAACCACTGAGTCTCTGCTTCCCATCGTACAAGGAAATCATTTTATACATTTGTCCATATTTTTTTAATTTGTATTATTAGCAATTATTACGTACTCAAAAATCAGTGGACTAAATTTAAATGATTAAAAATAAAAATTCATTTTATGATTTATTTCATAATTTAATATCTAAATTATGAAAAATCGTAAAATCAATTTCTTTTTCAATCAAAATTCAAACGATCGTAATACTAAAAATGATCTTAATATTAATTTTGAATTTTGGATAAATCGATAGTAACATTTTGAAATGTTTTAATATGGAATGTAGAAATAGAAAGAAAGGAACTGGTCCGTAACGATTCTTGCAGTAGAGTTCACTTCATGAATAACGTGGCAAAGCGTATTAGAATATTATCCAAGTGGAATAAGAAATAAGGAGAAAGAAGTAGAGAAAATGTATTATTATTATTATTACTAATTGCAATAATTACAAGGTATATATTTATTGAAAAATGCATGAATATCTTTTTTTTTTTGCAACAGATCTAGCGGTTGGTCAAAACACCACTTGATGCGTTGAGGATGCAACGTGATCTTTGCAACGGTGGGTTTGCATGCGCCGTTGTGTGGGTGTCATCGACCTGCCTTCTTCTTCTTCTTCTTTCGTTGTCGTCATCGGTTGGAGCAGGTACGTCATCGTTTCCTCCTTTTTTTCTTTATTTAATAATTAATTGCATTCGTCGATTCAACGAATCGATTTCATTTGAAGAAACGAAATGAAATTGAACTATTGAAATAAAAGTGTTCAATAGCATTAATTTCTATGGTTTAATGATAGGAACTCAGGAATTATAGTGGGGATAAATGTACTTGCATTAGAAGTTAACAACAACAAAATAGAAAGAAAAGAATTAAAAAAAAAGGAAAGTACGCGCGCTCTCGAAACAAACGTGCATCTGCATATAATGCAATGTGGTAAACGTGATTGGATTTATAAATTACTCTTATGTTAGACGATTCTCCCTCTTTCTAATCTTTAGCACAACCCGAGGAATAGTTTGCAGTACTCGCGACAACTTATCCATATTGTAATATGTTTTAATTTACAATTGCAAAGCATGCAACAAAACGTTCAAGTAAGAAATAGCCGAGGGACTTTTTTCTTATCTCATCTGAGTTTTTGTTGAATCGTTTAAGACCCAGACTGAAGGCAGAATCCGCCATTCTTCTGAAGTCATTCATCCTGTTCGTTTTTTTTCTTTTTTGGTGTTTGGACAATGTGCACACTCTTCCATGCATTTTTCTCAACCGGTCCTTCTTCTTCTTCCCCTTCTTTTTCTTCTTCAGTATTCGCGGAATCATCCAATTGGTCTAAACCCATTTCTCAATAAGAAAAAATTCTAAGTTAGTATGCGAAACTGTTCTACTTACTTACCTAGATCACGCTTCTTGATTCACGTTTAATCACTTTCGTTAGAAAGTTACTTGTCTTGTCTTCTCCTCGATTAAAATATGTTTTCCATTTTGTTTTTCTTTTCACATTTTTTACATTTCATTGGTATTTTATTTCATTTTCGATTCGTTCAGTTGCTACTTTACTGTTGTAATAAGAATGATCAATGTTATATAAATCAAGAAATAGTGATCAGTGTTTATTGGATGGAAGTATTAAGGAAATACGTTTAATAGTTTAATACCGTGCTTAGATAAGTATGGCAGTAGGGTGCGAGAAACCGTTAGGATTAACTCTACTTATTTGGATTATTATTATCATCGTGTTAGACGATTGAATGTATGTATCGAATATTATACGTGAACGTGATCAAAATGCATTCTTTTCTACGATTCAACTCGTGAAAAATTGTTAATTAAATTGATGTAGAAAATATTTCTTTGTAGAGTCATCTGTTAAGGTCATCGCAGGCCGATGTCCATCATTCGATGAGCAGAACGTATGCCCATCGAGGTCACCAATCTGTAAGGAAGATTCCGAATGTCAATTGTTCAAAGAACGTTGCTGCAAAACAGCGTGTGGATTAAGATGCGTTAGCAGCGAGTTATCAGGATGCGAACAGTTGGCATTGGCAGCTGTTAAAAGATTCCGTGCTATTGACAAGTGGACTGTAGCATCGCAATATGTACCAAAATGTAATAACCAAACAGGGGATTTTGAAAGGGTGCAGTGCGACTCGGAGAAGAAATATTGTTGGTGCGTGGATAAGAAGATTGGTAGTGAAATTCCTGGAACGAGAGGGTCTAATATTAATGATATTAATTGTGACAATCCTCGGACATGTCCGGCACATTCCTGTCGAATGTTTTGCCCACTTGGATTCGAGGTAATAATTATTTATCAAATATATTTTTATCATATGATGATGGTTATTTAAATTATCATTTAAATTTGGATTGTTAATTGCAGATCGATTCGAAAAGTGGGTGTTCCAAGTGTGAATGCAAAGATCCTTGTCGTGGTATAACGTGTCCGGGTCCGGGTCAGATATGCGAATTAATTGATGTACCCTGTGCACGTCCACCGTGCCCACCCGTGCCAAGTTGTCGCAAAGCGAAATCTCTGTTCAATGTATGTCCGGCTGGTGAACCCTTGCAAATCACAGATTCCGTGAGACCATTCCTATGTGGTAATACACCAGGAAAACCAAGTTGTCCACCGATGTACAGATGTTTGGTTGATTCAAGACAAGAATATGGTGTTTGTTGTCCATCGAGTTTTAATCTTACTCGAACTGGTACTTGTCCGAACAAGGAACCCACGATTTGTAGTAGAACGTGTCAACACGATTTGGAATGTCCGTCGCCACAAAAATGTTGTCAGAGTGAACGGTGTGGTCGTACTTGTTCTGTACCCGAAGGTCTCAGCGTTTGTCGTCGCGATCGCATGTTGGCTGAAATGTTAAGCATTTCAGAAAAACAGGGTCGAGGTTACATTCCGCAATGTACTGATGGTAAGGTTATCCTTCATTTATTGTATTCATAATTAGTATTACAGTCTTTCTGGATGTCTATGAGTAATGAATACACTTTTTAGAAGGAGAATTTCAAACTAAACAGTGTTCAAGAAATGGTTTAGTCTGTTGGTGTGTCGATGATCATGGTCAAAAAATATCAGGATCTATGGGGCCAGCTGAAAGAGTAAATTGCACCTCGATTGCCAAAGCAAGATCCTTGTCAACGTCTTGCATTCAACAGCAATGCGCCCAAGTTTGTCAGTATGGATTCAAAACAGATTCATCCGGTTGTTCCACATGCGAATGCGATAATCCTTGCCAGGGGTATGTAAAAATAAACAAATTTCTAATTTGCTCATTGATGCATCATCCAATTGTTAATATTAATTTTGTCTCTGTTTCAGATTCCCGTGTCCACCCGAAGAAGAGTGTGTTCTCAAACAGGAAACAAATTGTCCTGATTTTCTTTGCCCTACTAAGCCGGAATGTAAAGCTAAAAGAACTTACAAGAGCCCTTGTGTTTTTGGTACACCAATGAGCGACGAGGAAGGTAATGCCATTACGTGTTCTATCAATCAGACTTGTCCGTACAATTATACATGTACAGCGGTACCAGAAGCTGGACAATCAGTCTGTTGTGCGATGTCGACGACTGTTATCAAACCGGTATCAAGTAAGTAATCAAAAAATCAAACAATTTTTATTAATGATATTAATTAAACGATGAATTTCAGTGTGCGAATATCTTCGAGATTTTGGTGAACGAATGGAAGGTACGCGAGAAGGAATGTTCTTGGCTGTTCCACCACCGCAATGCGATAAAAATGGTTTTTACAAGCCCTTGCAGTGTCATAACGGTACTTGCGCTTGTGTGAATCGTCACGGAATAATTTTACGAGGTAGTGTTAGTCCAGAAACCGATTGCAAAAGCGTAAAGAATTCTTGGCAAGTTTGCAATACGATATCGTGCGACTTGGTATGTCCTTACGGTTATGAAATCGATTCGGATGGTTGTGAAACATGTAATTGTCACGATCCATGTAAAAACGTGTCATGTGGTTCACGGGAAGTTTGCACAATGGTTGATGTCAATTGCGGCCCGGGAGAATATTGTCCACCTGTGCCAGCTTGTCTTACAACCAAACCTGGACAATGTCCATACTTGGTACCAAGTTCGTCGAGCTGTGAATTAGAATGTAGTACCGATCAGGAGTGTTCGGGTTCGGAAAAATGTTGTTCGACGGGTTGCGGTACGCAATGCGTAGCACCAGTCATGGCCACTGCTTGTCAACATGCACAGGCTGTTGCCGAGCATGCTGCTAGAGAGTCTGGAGAACCAGCTCGAAGAATTTATATACCAAGATGTGATGTCAATGGTGCATTCGAGGCAGTACAATGTCACAATGGTATGTGTTGGTGTGTTGATGAGGAAGGAAGAGAAGCTGCAGGTACACGGGTCCTCGAAGGGATTGTACCAAAATGTAATAAACCTCAAAGGTGTCCAGAAATCGATTGCAAACTCGATTGTCCGGAAGGTTTCGAGTTAGATCTTGACAGTGGTTGTCCTACTTGTTCCTGTAGAGATTTGTGTAAAAAAGTAATTTGTCTTGGAGAAAATGAAGCTTGTAGAATGGTCGAAGTTGCTTGCAGTATACCACCGTGCCCACCTGTACCAGTTTGTTTACCGAAAAAAGATAATCCTTGTCCAAATGGTACACCCCTTTTGGATCAAAATAGATCACCGGCTATTTGTGGTCCTCACGGGCACCAATGTCCATCCACGCACAAATGTGAGTTATCTCCGTTAGACGAATACGCTGTTTGTTGTCCCAAACCGCGAGAGGTTTGTTTCGAACCTTTACGAATTGTACCATGCAATTCAACGACAATGCCCAATGGAACAGAAAGATGGTACTTTGATCCAGAAAAAAACGAATGCAAAAAAAAAACGGAATGTACTCACGGCCATAATGACTTCAATGACTTCTCAAGTCGTTTGGAATGCGACACTGTTTGTCCTGTTTTGTCACAATGCGAAAGATTACGAGAGAAAAATTTAAAAACTTCTCAAAGATTAAAACAATCTACTTTCTTACCAAGATGCAATCAAGACACTGGTATGTGGGAACCTGTTCAATGTTTGGAACACGTCGGTGTTTGCTGGTGTGTTAATAGAAAAGGACAACCTATGAAAGGATCACTTATAAGAGGACACGAACCAAAATGCAATTTCAGACAAGCCAGGCGTGGTGGTAGAGGTCCTGGTAATCAAGAAATAGATTATAATATTCAAGCATTTATGGATGGCACTTTGTTCGAGTTGTTAGAGACTGATGAAAAACAAGTTAACAGAATTTTTGGCACCAGATGTCAAGCTATGAGGGAAAGGGGTCATGTTTCAGCTATTTGTGATCGTCAAGGTAAATTTGAACCCACGCAATGTGCTGGAGATACTTGTTGGTGTGTCGACGAGGCTGGAAATCAATTGGTTGGCTCTGAACCATTTTTGAAAGGATCTAATATTTGTTGTAAGTTATGGATTAATGTTACTACTACATATTATTTATCTTGCATAATTTTTAGAAGTTTCTATTATTTGTTAATAAAATAATATATTTTGATTTTTCAGTACCAACACCGATCGAGTCGGTAGAAGTGATTTTACGTTTTCCCGGAAGATTCGTAATAACGGACAAAGTTACTTTTAGAAGTGAAGCAAGACAATTCTTGTACGAGTTAGGGGCAAGATTAAAGGACGATATTGAAGTGGATATCGAACGGGATTCGGCATTTTTGAAATTCGAAATAATCGGTGGGAACAAGGTCGACATAGCTTTTCATTTGGAAGAATTGACAAGGATGCAGAAACTTTTAATGCTTGGGTCATTGGCCGATGAAACAACTTCACGTTTCACACATAAATCTATGCCAGTCGCTGTGGAAAACAGGATCGTTGCGTTAGAGCAACGGGAGATTCTAACGGAAGTTGAAGCACCCGTTTATCAAACGGCCACACTTGTTCTGGCTGCGGCCAGCGCCTTTGTTATCAGCAGCTTGATAATACTTTTAATGTTGTATCGAAAAAAGGTATTATTATTATTATATATTAAATATATTGAGAATTTTAATTGATGTATTACAGATCAAAAGTTTCTGGATAACGAAAAGTTATTTTCTACAGATGAAAATGAAGGATCCAAGCAAAACATTGCCGATGGATCAGCATTTCCTTGCCTACAGTCAACAACCCGTTTACGTGATTTCTGGTCTGGAAAAAGATGAGAAGGATGCAGGACAATTACATGAAAATATTCAGCTCCCTAAAACAGCTGATAAAGCATGAACGATTTTATAGATAAAATGTAATTATTTCTAATCAATTTTTCAATCGTTCATGATTCGACTAGGATTTAAATATCATCCCTCATACTACGGAAGTCTTAACTATTCTCATTCGTTTCATGATTTGTCATAAAATATTTATTCAATATACTATACTATATATCTATATATTGTATATACAGCGATTAGTATAATCGCCGATCGACCAACTTCAAGAATGGAATTTTTAAGAATGTTTGTAAAAATTAGTCATAATAATTTACAAACATTAAACTGATACATATCAAATGGATTTGATCGATCGTTAAATACCGTAAGAGAGCTGAGGATTTTTATCTTTTCATTTTTATCATCTTCCTTTCGAAATGATCAATGAAAAGATGATTTCTATCGTGAAAACGATTCAATGATATCGTTGCATTGATATACACTAATGTAAATATTAGATCTTCGATTATTTATATACATAAATCATTAATAAAGATCGCTACTTATTTCGTTTTTTATTTTATATACTTTTTTTATCGTGTCTGTTGTTTCCTAAGTTCTTAATTCTCTTTAATATAAAATTGAAAGTTTAGAATTTGTGTTGAATTTCAAATAAATTATAATATGATATAAACATATATGTAATAAAAAAATATTGCTAGATGAATCAAGAAAAACATTTTTAAAAATAAGGTACATAACTTTGTTCGCTATGCGCATGCATAAAAATGTTTAAAAAAAATTAAGAACGCGGCTAATTTATGAACGGCTAAGAAATGTATTTAATAAATTCCTAATGATTTAGAACAATTATTATTCTACGATATTATTATATACTATAGTTTTGTTTATAAATTTTATTATTCTATTCTGATATGTCTTTACGATTTTATGATTCTATTTCATACTTTAAAGTTTGCATTCAACATTCTGCACAAGGCACTGCGCATTCTGCGCGCGTCACCCTGCGCAGTGGTACACCAACGTATAATCAAGACAACAAATTTTTAGCAACAGGGTTACGAATACCACAATTTGCAGTAATAAAAAACAAGGTAAATGTTATAAAATATATTTATATTTATTCTACATATTCGTATACAATTTAAATTCAACAATTTTCTTTCATAGATTATTCAAATTTCGCGGAATAAAATTCATATCGAATATAGTCGATCCAATCGATTAAAAATATCGAAAGTGATGACGTAAAAGGACAGTTTCGATAGATCGAATAAACTAGTCATCCCTATATAGTTTTTGATGGTGAACCGTACGAAAGGAACGTCGACCAATCGAGAGATTCAAAATTAGCGTTGAGGTGATGAAGAAAATAAATCATCTATCTAAAATAAAATCTGTAATCATTTGAATAAAAATTGAAGTGTCCGAATATACATTTAATTAACAAAATATCCTTGATGTAAGATGATCGTAAGATGTCGCTATATTATTACAACAGAGGTTACAACGTCCTACGTGGGAATAGTGTGAAATAAAGAAGGAAAAGAAGATAGAAAGGACATAGATAGAGAAATGAGATTTGTGATTAATGTTAGAGACTAATGAGAAGAAGGAAACTTGTAAAATCAACTAAAAGAATAAGCTTTAATGGCAGTCAGTTTAACGAACATACTTGAAGGAGTTTTCAAATCGCATATATCAGATTCATTGGACTACAATTTATTAACAATTGTATTGTCCTATAAAAATAATCGTATATCCGAAGAGGATAAAAAGAAGAAGAATAACAAGAAGGAAAAAGAAGAGAAGAAGACGGAAGAGGATAAGAAGGATAAGAATAAGAAGTTAATAATCGGAGGAGTAGGAAAGACGTCGTCCACCCTCTCGACACAGTTTCTGTTATGTGCGAGAGTGAAGGAAGCCGAGCGTTTATAATTCTACTACGGTGCTCGTGTCGGTGACAAAGAGAAAGAGAAAGAGAAACAGTAATAAGGAAGGAGAACGAAACTTGACAGAACCAAGGATAGTCTTAAAGTCCTTCTGGAATTAAAGAATAAGAAAAAGAGAAAGGGGGGAGATAGAGAAAGAGAGAAAGAGAGAGAGAGAGAGAAAGAGCGCGCGCGCAAAAGTGAGACGGACAGACGGATAGAGCAAACAAGTAAGAGAGAGAGAAATATACAGGACGAAGATACACGCATTTTAAACGGCATATCTCTCTTCTTTTCGGCAGATCAGCTTTATTGTGTGCGAACGAGATTACCATCAGTATTTACATTTTTATCGGTCTGCCGTTAATAATATTATTCTTCTTCTTCATCATCAGCATCTCGAGATATCTTTCTCTTACACATTTATCGAGATAGAAAAATATATATATGTATATGTATATATAGCATACATACGTTAGTTTCCTTTTACATCCTCACTAATTCGAGATTCTTCGACAATCGAGAGATAATCGTCGATTACGAGAAGAGTAATAATAAGAAGAATAAGTGAGATTACGTTTGTGCGATATATATAACATATATCGTTCGATTATTATCATTCCTTTAAGAGATTCGGTGTGATATTATAACCTTGATTGTGTTGCGCCGAGTATCGCGACGACACTACGCACATATACATAGATATATTTATACATACACAGAGACGCGCACGCACACGTTTCCACGCACAGTAGTTTTGTTACGCTTGATCATCGTCGCGTGTGACAGTTCGTTCCTGAAGAAGATTTAAATAAAACATATTCAATATTTTGGAATCTTTGTTAATTTTAATTTTTGTTTTTCATGTATAATTCATATTTTATTTTGTAATTGTACACTTCTTTCTTTTTATATCGACAATAACATCCACATAGTTTTCTATTCTATTTTTTGGTTATATTGTTAGAAAGTAGTGTAATAATTAATTCGCCATGTTTACGGGTATAATGAAAATTGAAATATGCGAAGCAGTCGGTTTACGTGCCACTGACAAACAGAGAAAATTTTGGCAAGATGAACCGATATTAGATCCTTATGTTCAAATCGACGTCGATGAGAATCATCTTGATCGTTCCTCGACCAAACCCAAAACATCTGATCCTGTTTGGAATGAATCGTTCACTCGTGAAGTTCGCAATGCTGTGAACCTAGGATTAACTGTCTTCCATGATGCAGCCTTACCGCCTGATTACTTTGTTGCCAATTGCAGCATCCCCTTCGAGGAACTTGTCAGCAGGAATGACATGACCGCTGATTTCTGGGTAAGTCTTATGACTTATTTTCTTATTTGTATAATAAATTATTGCAGCTCACTGTTTCTTTATTTATAAAATATAAAATATTATTTTTAGGTCGATCTTGAACCTCAGGGAAAGTTACGAGTGAGGATAGATTTGAAATGGGACGATCTAGGTACGAAAACAAACATACATTTTGATTAAATCAATAGTAAATAAAATGATAAACATTTTTAGATACAGTGAGTTGTCGCAGCGGCATTGATGGAGAATCTCTTGGTAGTGCTAGAAGTCTGATCAGTATTAGTTCAGGAAAAGAGCCTAAGAGAGAATTCAAAGAATGGCAAGGATTCAATCGTCGAAGAGGTGCCATGAGGCGTCGTGTTCATCAAGTTAATGGTCACAAATTTATGGCTACATTTTTAAGACAACCAACGTTCTGCTCTCACTGCCGCGAGTTTATATGGTATGTATACGTTTAATCGCATGACAGTCAAATGCTTATATAGTTTATTTTACAAAATATATATACTTATCTATATATATATTGTTAAGGTCAAAGTTTACTATTCACTTGTAAATTGACATGTCTGGTATATTTGGAATACTGTCAACATGGTATACTAATTATATAAATATGTTGAACGTTTCTCTTCGGTCATCAAGAATGAATCATTTATTATACATTATGAATCAAAACAAATTTTCATTTATAATGTGTAATATAATATATAAACTATCTTTTTTATATGCTTTATATAATTCATTTTATATATTGTGAGAATGACCCAAGAGATTTTTAAAACTGTGTCTTAATTCGTTTTACAGCAAATAGAAGTTTGCTTGCTTGGTTTGGTGTGCTTCATTTTAAAAAGTTTTAAGTAATTAGTATCAGTGCAGATATCAATATAGTGAAGCAAACATTTTGATTTCAATCGAACACATAGGTCTTCGTTGACTTTTGCACACCAAATCTGCATGGTACAAATACGAGAAATAATAATTTTGCAACTACAGGACTTGCATGACTGGGATGTTGGTTCTTATTTTAAACTAGATTTTAATAATACCAAGAAAAGATGATAAATCATTCATATCGTGAAACATTGAAGTTGAACAAAGTTTCCTTTAAAAAAAGAAAAGAAATTATTTAATTGTGTCGATCTTGGTATTATAGAGATCATATCACAGGGGTAGATGACAAATTTTGTGTTCATTTTGGGTTTTATCACAATTTAACTATAGAAGATTGCATGCTCTATGTTTTTTTTTTTACTTAGTGCACACACTCAGTGTGTTGCTCTGAATTATTTTTTTTTTCTACAAACTATCGAGGTGTTGGAGCACTCATGTGTATCAAAGCTGTGTTCGATTAAAAAAAAAACTACAAGATTTAATTCTGATAAATGAAAATAGATTCCATGCGTAAAGCACCAGCCACTTTTTTCTATTAATAATATATACATTTTTTTAATAATTTTTTTTCTTTTAATTTTACATTATTTATACTTTTTCTTAAGAGTCTACGATAGATGTCTAACTATGGTATATGGTCCAAAGAAGAAAACGTATGTGTTTTAAAAAGGGAATATGAGGAGACGATGTGACGTGTTTTGTCTGTTGTATTTCAGGGGCTTGGGCAAGCAGGGCTATCAGTGTCAAGGTGAGAAAGACACATACACGTTATTAACAGATTATAATTGCGTACTCGCTTGCTGAACCTGTGTATGATGAACGTGTTATTATTATTTTAATTATTATTATTATTATTATTATTATTATTATTATTATTATTATTATTATTATTATTATTATTATTATTATTAGGAATGTATAAATGTTAATTTAGTTTTCACTATGACATTAAATCATTTAGGGTGCATCGGCAGTTATTGCACTTTTACTTACCAACAAATTTATCGACAATTTGTTGAATTTTTCTTTCGAAATGATTTACTTTTTATTTTTCGGTCTTTTAGTCATGGTAAAAGTTTGTTCTATTAAATGTGCTTTTAATTTTGTTCATTTGCACTTTGAAATTAAAGTATTAAGTGCTGATAATCTATCACCATTCGACAGGATATCTTATTTGCTTTGATTTAACATGGTGCCAAGCTTGGAAACTCTCTTCACACTGCATGATTTTATATTTATGTCCGTTGGATATATCAAACGAGACGCAAGATTTTTTTAATATCTTGCTATACTATGTGGGATCATTTGCTCCTATGTGACACCTCTCTTTAATTATTATTATTACTATTATTATATATAATTGTACTTCTATTATTGCGACAGGGTTTGAATTATATTTTTTCATATTTTTTGGCTTTTATTTTAATATGATTTTAGATTATATTAGGATGCACTTATAAAAAAAGAAAAAGACATGCATGCAACCAGCTTTGGTCATGCTATACTTGGTGTTATTTTTTATTAACATAAGATATGGTGTACAATATACAAATATCGTCATTGTCATTGTTTCAGTTTGCACTTGCGTAGTTCACAAGCGATGTCATAAATTGGTGATAACAAAGTGTCCAGGAATGAGAGACGAGGTAAGATACAGTATAAATATTGTTGCCATTTTTATTCTATTATTATTTAAAAAAAAAAATAGATGGTTTCTTTTCATTATTCAACAGAAATTATGTTATTTGCGTTATGTATCAATTTTTGTTTTTATAATATTTTAATTTGTATTTTCTTTTGTTTCCTTTTTATCTGCTCAATTATTCAGGGCAAAGGTACTGGATTACAGTCACATCAAGATACAGAAAGTCCACGCTTTAGCATAGACGTGCCACATCGGTTCATAGTCCATACGTATAAGAGGTTTACATTCTGTGATCATTGCGGTTCTCTATTATATGGATTATATAGGCAAGGTTTACAATGTGAAGGTAAGTGTGCTATATATGTATGTATATTAGTTTTCAATGTATCTGATTAATTATTTGTACAATTTTTGTTTTGGCCAGCTTGCAATATTAATATTCACAAAAGATGTCAAAAAAATGTGGCAAACAATTGTGGTACAAATACAAAGGCGATGGCAGAAATTTTAAGTGCAATGAATATCTCTCCCGATAAACAAATCAAAGCACCACGAATTAATTTTACTCCCTGTCAACCTAGCCAAACGCCGCCAACAGTTGCTGTTACCGAATCATTAACAACAGAAGCATCCAAGACAGCTGTTCAAAGAAAGTCGGAGGAAAGCGAAGGTAGAATAAAACAAAATGCGGTGTCCGTTAATGAAAATGAAGTAAAAAAGTTTGGTCTGGAAGATTTTAACTTTATTAAAGTACTTGGAAAGGGTAGCTTTGGAAAAGTTATGTTGGTCGAACGGAAGAGTAATCCTGATGAAGTGTTTGCTGTTAAAATATTAAAAAAAGATGTTATTATACAAGACGACGACGTCGATTGTACAATGACGGAGAAACGTATTCTTACGTTGGCTGCTAAACATCCGTTCTTAACAGCTATTCACAGTTGTTTCCAAACAAGTGATCGTCTCTTCTTCGTAATGGAATATGTAAATGGAGGTGATTTGATGTTTCATATTCAAAAAGCTCGTAAATTCGACGAAGCAAGGGCACGTTTTTATGCTGCTGAGGTAACGCTAGCGTTACAATTTCTACACAAGAACAACGTTATATATCGTGATCTCAAACTGGATAATATTCTTCTTGATCAAGAAGGCCATTGTAAACTCGCAGATTTTGGTATGTGTAAAGAAGGAATAATCGAAGGCAAAACTACGACATCAACGTTTTGCGGTACACCGGATTATATAGCGCCAGAGATTTTACAAGAGTTAGAATATGGTGCCAGCGTTGATTGGTGGGCACTAGGTGTATTAATGTATGAGATGATGGCTGGTCAACCACCGTTCGAAGCAGATAACGAAGATGATTTATTTGAGTCTATTTTACGCGACGATGTGTTGTACCCAATTTGGATATCCAAGGAAGCTGTTTCGATATTAAAAGGATTCATGACCAAGAATCCAGCCAAACGATTGGGTTGTGTTGTAGCGAACAGAGGTGAAGCTGCTATAAGAGAGCATCCATTTTTCCAACACATGGATTGGGATGCATTAGAAGAGCGTAGGGTTAAGCCACCGATCAAACCAAAAGTTGTAAGTTGACCTATACAAACATATACATATTATAAATCTTTATATTACGCAAATTCATTTAATTTTCAATTTACAGCAAAGTAAAAAGGACGCGTTGAACTTTGATGCGGAATTTACGAGGGAGGATCCAGAATTGACACCAGAAGATCCCGAAGTTGTCAGTTATATTAATCAAGAAGAATTCCAAGGTTTCTCTTTCGTCAACAAGGACTTCAATCCAGCAAGATTTGGGACTCAATAGGAAACAAGAATTTATCGAAAGAAGCAAAATACGAAGATGTTTTTATCGTAAGGCTTCTTTTCGCTTCAATAAGTTTTGTCGTAGACATCAAACTATAAGATCAAGTATTCTTCATCTATATTTCTTTTCTGAGGTATTGATCATATTTGTTTGGGAGTGTAATAATTCCTTTACGTGGGAATACGTAACGCCACATTACTCCCACTACAGGAGTAGTTGGAGTATTGCAATTTCTAATGAAGTTACATTACTACTTTTTCCCATCATAATCCAATTTGCTCCCTTTATTATTCTTCATTTTAATTTGATACCGCTGGTGGGGTTTGTCGTACTATATAAATTAATTCCAATTCTCAACGTGGATTATTGATGGTAGATACTTTCGAATAAGAATCAACATTAACTTATTATAAGGAGATTACGTGTACTTTGATCTCTCGGTATCATCATCACATTTAAACTAGATAAGCATCACAGTTGTTTTTTTTTCATTCATTTGAAAAAGATTTCATTGTAAGATTAATTCGTGGCCATTTTGTGGGCTTTTAAGAAGAAGAAGAAAACAAAAAAGTCAAGTTAACTGCATTAAGAGGGATAAGAGAGAAGGAGTACATTTACTTATGTATTTTCAAAGAATTTCTAATATCTTGTAGTACTGATTATTACCAACAGTACAAAGAGATAAATTATTAATTAGCTATAAAGTTTATTATTCATTATATATATATACTATATATGACAATTTATATATGTATATATAATGAAGAGATCGCTGGACGATTAATTTCTTCTTACGGCAAAGGACACATCTGTCTCTTATATAGATGTTAAACATATACATATATTATCGAATTAGAAATGCAGTGGAGGGGCAAGGATTAGAGAGATATTTGCGTATAGGAATTGCGTATGAGTGTTGCGCTATTTAAAAGAAGTTAGAAAAAAAATATAAATAAATCTTCTATCGACTTCCAAAAAATTAGATTTTGCTTCCTCTCATAACGTTGTCTTTCACTATAATTTGTCATAAATAGTACTATATCTAAATATATAGGAATTTGTATGTGGCAGACATGTTAACGCGAGTAATTCTTGAGTCTGAAGATCGAAAAAGAAAAAGAAGAAATAATAAGCTTTGCCCTTATTGTCTTTTCATATCCGTGTACGTATTACAGTATATGAATCTTTAAATGTCCTTTCGAATTTAGAAATATTAATGGCAACAAATTTTGTTCCATAGTTTTCACTGATAATATCGTAAATTCTGGCGCATATGCATATGTAAATGAATACGTGAAATGTGGTTGTTTAAGTATAAAGAAATATAATGTAAAAAAAGAACATTTGTTCGTCGTGTAAAGCGTCGTTATTATTTTTCAAATGATTTCATTCGTATAAATCGAGCATAGGTTTAGATATGCGTGTCTGTATCATTGATAATATAAAACGCATCTAGAGAATTTTCAGACTCACGATTATTATAGAAACTTTTGAGAGAAGGTATTCAAAATAATGTTCTTATTCCTTATTGTTACTAAAAATAAGTGTTCAAGAAGAAAAAGAAGAAAATGAAGACGAAGGTGAAGAAACAGAAGCCACAAGTAGAAAAATATTCAAAACAATGAATAATCCAAGTCATGTCCTGTATTATATAAAATACATATATATTGCTTATTTAAGAAAAAAAAAATGGAGTCTCCAAATTTAGACGATAGAAACCAAAATGTTAGAAATGAAAGAGCCAGTTTGTTTTTTTTGTGACGAAGACTGAATGTATAAGCTGGACTTAAGTTTTCAAAATAACATTCTCATTCAAAAAAGTAAGAGAACGTATGCGTGCGTGATAATATATTATAAGTCTAAATGTGTAAAACTTATCCATAGCGAATATTAACTTGATGATAGCGTATATACATAGGTCATTAACTATATAGCAAAGAATAAAAATAAGAAGATTAAAAAAAAGGAAACTCAAAGAAAAATATAGAAATTGACAGATAATTATGAAATAATCTTTATAGTCAAATTCTTGCTATTTCTTTTTTATTTTCTTCTAGTTTTTATTCGTAAAGAAAAAGAAGCAAAAACACGAGAGAAGCATTTCATAAGCGCGCTTCTCTTTGATAGTACATAAAATATACATCCGTTAATAATTAAGAACTAATATGCATATTATATAGGTATGTACACATAGAGAGAGTGTGAAAGAGAGAGAAAGAGAGACACACATACATATATACGTACATATTATAATATATATTTATAGAGATTCAAATGATCGAGCAGATTACGATCTTACCTTTAACGATAATGATAATTATCAAGATTTCTTGAAAAATTATATTCGATTATAAAAGAGCTTCTAGCACTTTATTAAAATGTGCTAAACTTATTAAGTTAATAAATGCGAAGTAATACGTGATGATCGTACAATTTTTCAATGGATCGAATCTATGTAACGTTAGAATAAAAATATTGAAAATTAATATAAAAGGTATGCACGTAGATGTTAATGAAAACAAGAATAACTCATGGCAATATTTTTATTATTATTATTATTATTATTATTATTATTATTATTATTATTATTATAATTATTAGTATGGTATCATGACGCACACATTTTTAAATCATCATAAACTTCTTTGTCTTTTTAAATTAAGTGTCATAATGCTTTGTAATGAATTAAAGTAATAACGTAAAGTTTTGGGATTGACGAGTTACTGCAATGTTGTGTCAAAGATTATTAATATTTAAGCGTGTATGCATGTATGTGTGTGCGTGCAAATGAGAACAAAAAAAATGTACGATAAAGTTAACGTCAAGGATTTTTACGTACTTATTTCAAAATGTACCTTGTTTATCTTATGCTTTTTATATTTTATACAAAAAAATTTAATTAAAATTTATTTATTGTATTGGTAAAAAGAATATATATTTAATTATAATATGTCAAAGTTAGGATTCTTGTTCGCAAACTTTTAAGATTTTATTTAATCTTTGATGGAAACTTTATAAAACTTTAGAAAGTTTTAATATAAATTTAATTATTAATTTTAATCGATTATATTATATATTTAATTATAAGGATAAAAAAATATATCCATTCAAAGGATATTCTAGAATGGAATAATTAATAATTAAGCTTCGTATTGAATAGTCGATAAATAATTGTGCAAAAAACAGAAGAAAAAAAGAATGACTATGAGGATGATGATGATGGTGATGATGATGATGATGATGATGAACATGAATACAAAAATTTGGATAGAACACACACGAAGAGCATGACAAAAAAATTAGAAATTAATATAAAAGGAGAAAGAATAAGAAGAGAATGGACGCAGGATCAAAGTGAAAAATCGTAGCTTTATAGTTGAAAACAAATATGCATTATTCGGTGTTGTGATTCGTTGTTGTTGTTGTTGTTGTGTCATACTCGTAAAAATACGTTTTCATGTATTATTTCGTCTTAGGTATTACAATTATATGTATTTTAGAAAGGTTGGTTAGACATTAATTTATAAAAAAAAAAAGATTAGTTTTATGTTTCAATTTGGGACAGCGGTTTTCAACTTTTCTTTAATTTCATCTTACTTCGCAATAATCAATTTTTCTAAAAAAAGATAAGAATAATATGTTATCAATTTATTGTGGTATTTTTTAATTGATAAATTTAAAGAGAAAACTATTATTATTTAATTTATAAATAATTTTTATTTTGTATATTCCTAATATATTAAATTTGAAAGTTTAGAACCGCTGGGGTATTAGAAAAAAAATTAGGTTGATTTTTAATCTAAACAATCAAATCACATAGTTATTGTCAAGAAAATCAATTGTATTATCTTTTCTAATATTATTTATTATTTATTTATTTATATATATTTTTAAACTATTATTAAGATTTAATATTTATTATATGTTAATATATTATTGTTATATATACATTTATATTACTCCATTTTTTTATTTTTTATTCTTTTTTTTCTATTCATATACGTCCAATAATAGTTATTAATAAACGCGAAAATTAAATATTAACGTGATTGCAAAAGTAAGAATTGAAATGGTATAGTTGATGTAATTTTTTGATAATTTGGAAGGAATATAAAATGACATTTTGGAATGCGTCTGATTGTGAATTTATAAATTGTTTACATTTGTGACAATATTTTGATTTAAAAAAGTTTATAGAAGTTTTTGCAAATATTTCTTTTTTATATAAATCATTCTATTATATTAGAATCTAATCGTAGAAAAGAAAAGAAAAGAAAATAATTTTGGAATATAACGCCTACGCTAAATTTCATAGCTTTTTGGCTTATGTATGTACAAAGTAATAATACAATTAATAATTATAAATTATTCATTACGGTTTCTAATTCGTTTTAATATTTTTATATATTTTTGTATTTTTCATTTTCTTTTTTTATCGAAAAAATAATTGAGGGCAACTTTAAATGAATAAAAAAATAAATTCTCGTCGTTTCTTCGAATCATTGCAAAAATTTAAATAATTATCTTTGTAAAATGATTTATTCATATATAGATTTTGATTCAGCACGAAACTTATGCGTCGTACAATTAATAAATTTATTTAGAAAACGGGATAATTATTAAAAAACGATAAAATGAAAGAAGAAGAAGAAAAAGTATTTTGCATTTGATCGATCCGTGTGAGGGCTGTGCAATTATGACGATTCCATCCTGTTTGGAAAAATTATTTGAATTTATCCAAGAATGAGAGAATGAGAGAGTGAGAAAGAGTGAGAGAGAGAGAGAGAGAGGGGAGATGGTTTAGTCCGGCCTACGCGTTTAAATAAATAATAGACGGTCTCGTTAGTTATTTAAAAGAAAAATAAATTTAAAAAAAAAGAACAAAACTAAACAGACAAACAAAGAGAAAAGAAAAAAGAAGAAGAAAGAAAAGAAAATATAAATAAAAAAATTAACACCCCTCCTTCCCGTCTTGCCCAATTATTTGGTACTCTATCCAGAATAAATTAATAATAATAATAATTATAATAAAATTATCTTGTAGATAAAAAAGAATTAAATTAAATTAAATTAAATTAAATTAAATTAAAAAGTAAGTAAGTAAAAGTAAGTTAAACAACAATGGCATTTTTTTTTTGTTAGAATTAATATTAATATAATTAATAATAAAATATTACATATGTACGTCGACGAGTTTGATATTTGACTTATATATATATGTAAATGTATATATAAATCAAAGATCATAATTTAGAAGATCTTTAACGTCGATCTATATTCATCGATCTATCAGCGTAATATTCATTCGAGTTAACATTATTCGAAAGCAAAAAAAAATAGATCATTAATTCTCGATGATTGTTGAGAAAATTAAAGAAACAAAAAAAGAAAGGAAAAATGAAAGAGAGAAAGAAACGATTGCCGTCCTTAAATAAACATCGATCCGACGAAAAAAAGGATTATCGATCGAAGATCTAGATCGTTTTACATCAAATTAACTCGTATATGCATGAATAATAAATAATATCATAATTAATAAACGATATTGTTGAAAGTCTGTTATTTAAAATCAATCGATCGATCTTCTCTTCGATAGGCAGGACAAAATTTAAACTTATCAATTTTTTACAAATAAAAATAAAGACAAAGATTGAAAGATTGAAATATTTCAAAGGAAAAAAATCAACAAAATATGATCAATGATGAAAGATATATCAAATGAAAGATACATCTCAGTTTGGTACACAACAGATTCCGTCTAAATTATGAGATTCCCATAATCGAGAGGCTCAACCAAAACTCTTCTTGTTAGATATCAAAAACTACTATTATTATACCGTTGCAGTATTTTCGTAAAGCTTTAAAACTTTATCTTGTCGACGAACAAATGCTAAGAAAATTTAATCAATATTGTATTCAATTTTTATATACACGCACAAACACATATACACGTATACTTACACATTACATATTATGCATCTTTTCATTCACTCTTGAAATCATTCTATCAAATACTATCATCGAGTCTGCTAAATGAAATGAATTATTTTTGTTGGATATTTCATTTTAATATCTAATATCTTATTATATTTATATATTCTACAGGGTGTCTACAATGAAAATGTTTTATTTGATTTATTTATTAGGTTTTTTTTAAATTTCAAATTCAAATTTGTAGACACTCTGTATGAGAAGCGTAATGTCTACTTAACATTTATGATCTTATATAATCGTTATCTCTTAAATTAACTTTAAATATAATTCACATAAATTTACGTGTGTTGTATGTGTGTATTAAGTAGTAATTAATACGTATTTAACTTAAGTAAATCATCATGAATTTTGTTAAGTAATTTATGGAACAAAAAAAAAAAAAAAGAAACGTACAGAAAACTTTAAACATGTTAGATCTTATATAGATAAGAAGTGTTAATTTTTAGATAAATCGCGCGTGTGATAAATAATTCATTATTTATTATGATTAGTGTCAAAAATTTATATATATATACATATATTTAATATATATTTATTGTTTTAGTATTAAGTATAGAATATACTATATATTCAATCCATTTTTTTTTGTTCAATATTTCTTTGATTTTATATAAATAATATATATATTATAATAAATATTTAGAAATTTAATTAGAAAAAGAATAAAAAGAATAAAAAGGTGCAAAAACTGCTTGG